TAAACCTGAATGAGCCCTTGCTGATGGGTCCTCTACAGAGTCAAGGGGCCTAGAAGATCAACAGTGACACTACTGTCCCTTTATATATTATGTTCAGTTATGTTTGTGGTGTTCACAGGAAACATGGGGACTATGACCAGCATGGCATCATCCTAATCCAGCACCCTGCCAAATGCCCCTTCCACATGTGAAGGAAATGTATACTCGGGAAGAACGGGGGTGCAGTGAGAACTACTGCCTTTGAGAAGGCATGAGACCACCCAGGTTTAAGCCTCTTGTGCCTTTTTGAACAATGGGTGGGTGATGTGAGGAAACGTTCCCTGTAGCTCCGATCCTGTGGAGAGAGAATGCTAAAACCTGACCGAAGAGAGGCTGCCAGTCAGGTCTGTGGTCACGTCACTGTCAGGGCCTGCCAGGGTCTGACACAGGCCAACACAGCAGAAATTATCATCCGTGACAATGGATGAGCCCAAGAGTCAAATCTTGAGGGGAATTTAGACTAATATTGCCAGTGCCTGAGGAAATGATGCCTTTTGAAGCCCCAGGTCCCCTTACCATTGTGACAGATCCTGAAGGATATGACCAGAATCTGACAGTCTGAAACTTTGAAAAGGGCCTTTCTTACTTGTTGAGAGCCACAGCCGAAAGGGGTCCCAACAAACTTCCAGCTGCCAGCAAACTTCCAGCTGCCAGCTGATGATTGGCTCACAGCAGCACCAGCAAACTTCTAGCTGCCAACTGATTGGCTCCTCTGCAGTGATGCTCATTGGGCTGTTTCCCCACCCTTTCAGACCACGGAGCTGCTCATTGGGGGACTTTTTTTGGCTCCACCCACACGACCCAGCCAATCAGCCTCAAGAGCAGGAGGAGTGGGGAAGCCGGTGGTGGCAGTTGGGCTCTGAGGGTTTTCCTGAGGAACTGTGTGGTTTGGTGTGTGTGTTCTAAAAATAAAGTTCATTTCTTTTGACAAGTGGCTCCTGAATTGTGCCCAGCCAGACTGCAGCATTTGGTGGCCCGTGCGGGGAAATGAACCCACGACCTTGGCGTTATCAGCTCCCAAAAGATGATTCTAAAAAGAGCAATCCTTCTACTGAATTCCAATATACTATTATGTAATTCACAAATCACAAAGTGCCCAGGTCACATTCCTATTCAGCTTCATCAGGAATACAGTGATATTTTAGAAAGAAAATTAATTGGCTATCCACATTTAAAAATCAACATGTTTTTGGCCAGGGATGTAGCACAGTGGTACTATGCTCGCCTGGTAAGAGTGAGGCCCTGGATTTGATCCTCACCGCTTCAAAAAAATTAATAAAAAATTAAAATAACAAACTGAATAAATCAAAATCTAAAAATAATTTAAAAATATAAATTAAAAAAACTCTAAAAAAATCAAAATCAAAAATCTCAATTTAAAAATCTCAATTTGTGACTTCTCTTGGGAAATCACAGGGCCTGGGCATGTACATGGCTCACATCAGACAGAAATGATTAGCTGCTGCCCCATTAAAACTAGTCCTCTGTTGGTTGTAGCCCATACCCTTCCCTCTTGTATCCCATTGTTAACTCTGCTTATTTATAGTACCTGCACGGCTCCAAATACTACTTGAATTCATTATTCCTGCTGGAAGTTAAATCTAAAGCCATGATGTTCAGAAATATTCTTATTTAACCAATTAATATAGTGACATTCTCTTCAAACTGTCTCTGATATAAGACTGGTATTTTCTGTTTCTCAATCTATCCAATTGTTGACAGATATGTGATCCTATTGTGCATGACTAATATAAAGTACATCTTTGAATCATCACTAGAGTTCAACAACACCCAGACTGGTGTACATTCTCTCCAACAAGAAGATTCCACTTACTTAAATATGTGAAAATCTCAGATTTCTATAAAGTTTCCTAAATGGTGTTGCTCAATTCCCATACCTGTTCAGTCAATCTTACTTGTTGTTGAAGCTCGTTCCTGTAGTGTATCCTGAGAAAAATGCTTTGAGATAGAATGTGTTAAATGTTCCCCTTTGGGAAAAAAGAATTCAAGTCTTAAATACTGAGGTATTAGTATTTCTCAGATTTCTGCCTTTTTTTTTTCTTTTCTTGGTACCTGGGATTGCCAAGATTTAAGTAGGATTGTAAAAACCTGAAAATGTGCATGGTTGTAGCTCAGTTATCTGTTTCTCAAAGTGGTACTGCAATAAATATTTAAATAAACACTAAAGAAGTAACTTATTTTCTTTCATTTAAAGATAGTAATCTGGGGCATATTAAAGTGAGAATGTGTTGCAAGTCATTCTATTACGATATGTAATCTGTACTTTGGGGGCAGATTGTAAAGAAAATAACCTATAGAAACTGAGGTTGGACTCCCTGACATCCAGAAGTATCAGTGTATAAATTTGTGTGCTTTTTAAGCCACCAAGATTTTAACAATTTGTTTTAGCAATGTAGGAAATGAATACATTTGAAAAGTTATCTTGTACATTATATTATTAAAATCAGATCCATTCTCTAACAAAACTTGGTCTTTTTCCAGAGCAAATCAAATTTTTAGGTTGAATTCAAGATCCAAAATGATACTTAATTCTAAAGAAATCACAAGCTGTTTTTGAAAATTTATGCATTAGCTAATGAAAATTAAGTCAGCTTTGACAATTTTTAACACAAATTTGTACTCTTTTTCAAATTCTGTTCTGTGAACTTTCCAAATCTTTTGATACCTGCTCAATTTTGTCTTCTTCCAGTCTCTTTCCTCTTGTGGGACAAAAAGCCATTTTGCTTCCGAACAGAAAAATTTTACTTTTTCTCTTAGTAAAACATAAATCTTATCTGGAGACTCCTTAGTAGAATATCATTAACACATACAAATTATAACATTTAAGCCAAGTAACTTCTATTTCATGGAGAAAACTAGAGGTAGATAATTGTGTACTGGTTGTGATTTTTCTCAGATAGCTCATGAATATATCTAACTCAGTTTCGTTCAGCTACATGCATCTCTTTGAGTTTTTGTTTGTTTGGTTTGATTTTTGCCAAGGGGTGGAGGGTACTCAGGATTGAACCCAGGAATGCTCTATCACTGAGCTACATTCACAATCCTATTTATTTATTGATTGATTGATTGATACTGGGGATTGAACCTAGGAGTGCTTAACCACTGGGCCACATCCCCAGCCCTTTTTATTTTTTTATTTTGAGACAAGGTCTTACTAAATTGATGAGACTGACTTTGAACTCGAAGTCCTCCTGCCTCAGGCTCCTGAGTCCTTTTCATTTTTAAAAGTTCTAAATTCCTGCAGTGTTTCAACTTTTAAGTGATGAAGACATATGTTGAATGCTCAAAAAAGAATTCAAATTGTTCAAGCAAATTTATGATATTTACATCTTAAACTTGTTGTAGAAACAATTCTAGATCATTTTATTAGTAAAACTGTATAATTTTAGAAAAAATACACCCAAGAAACATAAAAATATGTGATTGCATTATACTTAGTATTGATAAGTTAGGGAAGACATTATTATTTTCATAAAATCTATATTAGGGTTCTCCAGAGAAACAGAACCCATAGAATATATACATTTATGGTTATATATATTTGAGATTTTATATATATATATATATATATATATATATATATATATACATACACACACACACATTTCTAGTTATATATATTTGGAGATTTTATATATATATATATATATATATATACACACACACACACACACACATATATAGATATGTGTGTGTAAATATATATATTTACACACACACATATATAATCACACACACACACATACATATATATGAAGAGCTTTATTATTGAAATTGTCTCAGTTGTGGAGGCCAAGAAGTTCTACAACCTGAAAGCCTGAAACCCTGGAAATTTGAAGGTATAATTCAGTCTGTGTCTATAGGCCCTCAAACCAGGAATGCCTATGTATGAGGCCAAGAGAGGATGTGTTGAGAGCCATCTGTGGGGTGTGTGTGGACTGCATGGCGCATCACAGCCTAGTGAATAGGATAATCTAGTGTCTGGAACTTCCGGTGGACACTTCCTCTGGCTGACTGCCTAGACACATGGTGAGTCCTACTCAAGTTCTGCCAAAGGTCCCGCACAGCACCAGAGATGAGGTGACCTGCTGTAGCCTCATAGCCCCTCGAGATGGGTGTGACCTGCCAAGATGCCAGTTAATCTGCTGACTGCAAGATGTCACAAAGCAAGATTCCACCTCTGAAACCTTACTCCTGCCTTTGATGTTCCCCCTTAAATAAACCATAGGAGCCATTTTCTAGTTGTCCAGCTCCAGCTCCTGTTGGACTGGACCTATCAGGGCTTCATCTTTAAAACTATCCTTTCTCTTTGTCTTTTGTTCTTCTCTAATTATTCTAGACTTTAATTTCTCAGGAAGCTTATCCCTCTGAGCAGGCAAGAATTCCCTGGTGAGGTGCTGGCCACCCCATGATAAAGATGGACGTCCCAGCTTAGAGAGAGTGAATTCTCCCTCTACCACCTTCTTGTTCTATTTGGGCCCTCCATGGATTGGATGATGCATAGTCACATTGGTTAGGGCAATCTTTACTCAGTTTCCTGATTCAAAGACTAATCTCTCCTAGAAGCACCCAGAAATAATGTTTTACCAGCTGTCGGGGGATCCCTTAGCCCATGCAAGTTGACAGACTACGTTAACCATCAAAAAACACAAAATATGGCGGTGCTGGTATTTAGAGCGCAGCGGCTGATGGGCCAGGTCGCTGGCTCGCCCCCACCCCGCCCCGCCCGCAGACAAGACCGAGACCAAGAACAGCCCCGAGTATGCTTCATTCTTTTCGGTCATGGGTGCTTCGTCCCCCATGATCTTCAGCGCCCTGGGTGCCGCCTATGGCACGGCCAAGAGTGGCACCGGCATCGCAGCCATGTCAGTCATGAGGCCGGAGCTGATCATGAAGTCCATCATCCCAGTGGTCATGGCTGGGATCATCACCATCTACAGCCTGGTGGTGGCAGTCCTCATCGCCAACTCCCTGAATGATGGTATTAGCCTCTACAGGAGTTTCCTCCAGCTTGGTGCAGGCTTGAGCGTTGGCCTGAGTGGCCTGGCAGCTGGCTTTGCCATTGGCATTGTGGGGGATGCCAGTGTTTGGGGCACTGCCCAGCAGCCCGGCTGTTTGTGGGCATGATCCTGATCCTCATCTTCGCTGAGGTGCTTGGCCTCTATGGTCTCATGGTGGCCCTCATACTTTCCACAAAGTAGCCCCTCAAGCTCACCACCCACAGAACACCATGTAAAGACCACCCCCCTCCTCATTCCAGAACAAACAGCCTGACAACACTAATGGGCAGCTGCCCCCTCCTCCATAGTTGGTCTTGTAAATGCGCAGTGTCCTAGTGCCCATCCTCTGTTGCCCCGCCTCATCTCCCATCCAGGCCCCCGACCAGTGAGGATGCCAGCCTCCGGCCCCTGCCCACCACCCTAAAGTGCTTTGTGTATAAGGATGAATTAGAGTTGTAATTTTTCTCTTCACTGGATGTTTATTTATAAAAGATTTGACCTTGTTCATGCATCTGTGGAGCAACCCTCCTCTCCCAACTATATAATACCCTTTAGGTAGAGTGTTGCCTTGTGGAGTCCCCCTTGCTGAGACTCCTTGGATAGAACCGCCCTTTGTGCCCAGTGCCCAGGTCAGGGGCAGAACGCCAGCCACCAGGCCCTGGCGCCCGTCTGTGTCCAATAAAGTTCTCGGATGTGAAAAAAAAAAAACCCACAAAATATTAAGCTAGTCTTATTTGCTAAAGATTTGCATAAACTGTATGACTTTAAATTATTTAAATGGTTATAATTTATAATTGGCTAGTACATATGTAATCAGAATAAAGCTCCTTTAATTGAGCAATTTTTATGAACTAATATATTAATATCATCCAGAGGTACAAAAACATTACATACTCACAAACATACAGGCAGAGAGAAATAAAGCTTGTAACTCTAGTTCTACAATTTTAGGCATAGTCAAAAGTAAGCACCAAAAGAGAAAACACTGGTTTAGATATTTTAAAAAATTCTTTTCCCAAAGGATACAAGATTCTTAATTGATTTGAGCTCAAAAACAAACAACAAACAAAAAGACTGGAAAACCATATTTTCTGTTGTTTTTCACCCAATGGAGATTAGGTCTCTATAAGCCATGAATTCATTTAGAGAGATCTCAAAATCATCAGACCCTAAAATGAAATTCTCATCCATTCTACCAACATTGGAGAACAATTTGTGGGTTATAAATGTATCTAAAATAAAACAAACACTAAGTTTGTTTAAACTTAAAATTAAAACTAAAAAAATAGAGTCAATGTTATTCTTTAGGTGATCTGGATTCCACTGAAAGAGCCAAGAAATATATATATATATATATATATATATATATATATATATATATATATGTTTAAAGCCATGCACAAAGTGTATTTGTCATTGAAATTTGCTTGGAGGGGCTGGGGATGTGGCTCAAGTGGTAGTGTGCTTGCCTGGCATGCATGAGGCACTGGATTTGATCCTCAGCACCATATAAAAATGAAATAAATATATTTTTTTAAAAAAGAAATTTGCTTGGATATGGTAGGTGAATATATCCGGCATTTTGGTTTGACATCTGAAACGATTAAAAGACAATTTTTAGAACAGGGTTAAATCATGATACTCATTATAGGTATGAAATGAACACGTTAAAAGGTTTTATTTAACTCATGAGGCAACTAAAAGATGTTGTGACCATTTTAAAGGAGAATCCATAGAGCAGGGACAAGAATATTAATAATATTAAACTATGCCTAGAGATCAAAGCAAAGGCCTTAGGATGGAGCCTCTGTCCCAAAGTTTGAACTGTAGGCCCAGAAGGCAGAGCTTTAAGCCACAGAGAATGATTTTCAGGGCTTAAAACCTAATAGAACTTGTTAGTTGGGTTTCAGAATTGCTTGGGGCCACTGACTCTACTTTTTACTTTTTTCTCCCTTTTGGAATCAGGCTATCTATAACTTTTATCATATACCTGCACCACCATTCTATTTGAGAGTATACAACTTGTTTTCTAGTTTAACAGGTCCACAGATGGAAAATAATTTTGTCTCAGGTTGTATTACATCTATAGTCTTACTCATACCTGATTAAATCATGACATTTTGGACTTCGGATTACTACTAAACTTGGTTGAGATTTTTGAAAGGGGTGAATATATTTTGCATGTGCATTGGATATGAATTGCTGGGAGCCAGAATGGACTTTGCTAGACTGGATAATGGCCCTGAAAGGCATCTAATTTCTAACCCCTAACCCTGTTAATGTTACCTTATGTGGCAAAAGAAACACTGTAGATATGATAAAGGGAAGGCTTTTGATATGGGGAGATTATCCTGGATTAAATGGCCGAGCCCTAAATGAACCACAGGTATCCTTATGAGGAAGGTAGGGAAGATTTGACACTGAAGAAGATAATGTGACTAATGAACTTGGATGCTATGTAATTGTCTTTGAAGATGGAGGAAGGGCCAGAAGATATGAAATACAAGGACTATCACTCAAGGAACTGAAAACATAAGCAAATAAGATTCTCCCCTTGAGCCTCTGAAGGGTGCAGCCCTGTTAACAACCAAACTTCAACTTAGTGAAATGATTTTCAACTTCTGACTTCCAGAACCACAAGACAATAAATGTGTGTTGTTTTAAACAACTGACACTGTGGAAATTTATTATAGAAGCAACTAGAAACTAATACACTTCCCAAATAAGCTTTTAACTAATCCTTGTCTCAACATCTGTTTGTAAGGGAACTTGCTAAGGATACAGGATGCAAACTAAATTTTCTTGTTTCTCCTGGTTTCCCGTCACCTTCTTGTTGCATGAAGCATGTGATCATGCTCTGAGAGGGGTTAGAATTGTGAAAAACTGTATAAGGCTTGGCAGGATGAATGAGGTTTTTGGTGACACTTTAGTCAATAGTGGATCCCTCTGAGAGACTTTCGCTGTGACTATGATGGAGTAACTGGCATTCGATGAGCTCCTGTGTATAAACAACTAAAAAATTGGGGGAAAATATATGACCTGTTTTTCAGGTGTTGTACAACAGGAAGGACAATGCAGTGATTTCAGAGGAAACTTACAAGGTAGCTCAGCCATCATGCTAGAGCTCTGCCTGGGAAAATGTTATAATGAATTTAAGGAAGTGAACTGAATTCCAGGCAGAACACAGTACAGTGGTCCTGCTGAACTAAGAAGGCAGACACTGGAGTTCAATAGACCTGAAAAAGCTGGGATTTGCAAGACAGGGCATTAGAAAGGAAGTTGCTATACAGAGCAAGATCTTCACAAATCCCTCCGTGGTGCATGCCTGTAATCCCAGCGGCTTTGGAGGCTAAGGTAGGAGCCTCTTCCAGCCCCCATCTCTTCCATGACACACTGATGAAACCCGGAGGTCATTTCACGCATGCGCACACATGCACAGACTCAAGGGCATACCCAGGTTAAAATTGACCTTCCTCTCCTTTGTCCCTTTTGTGGTATGTTCATACATTTTTATCGAAGAAAATACCACATGATGTTCAATATTTTATTTCTTTTATGGGTCTATCCTGTAGTTCCACCTTCATAACAGATCACCCAAAACTTTATGGTTTAAAATAACAACTTTGGCCAGGCATGGTGGTGCAGGCCTGTAATCCCAGCAACTCGGGAGGCTGAGGCAGGAGGATCGAGAGTTCAAAGCCAGCCTCAGCAATGGCGAGGCCCTAAGCAACTCAGTGAGACCCTGTGTCTGAATAACATACAAAATAGGGCTGGGGATGTGGCTCAGTGGTTAAGCGCCCCTGAGTTCAATCTCTAGAATCAAAAACAAAAAAAACAAAAAACCCCCACCACCACCACAAAAACAAAACCAACCAACCAATCAAACAAACAAACAAAACAACTCCACAAATCCACTTGGAGATTTTTCAGAGGGCTGAGGGCTACACATGTCTGCTACAGGTTTGAAGAGGAATAAAGTTATTACTAGTTAGCCAGTGTTGGGGAATGTTGGAGCTTTGGTGCAGCAAGAATAAAATGACCTTGAAAATACCTTGTTAATATCCTGGACATCCAGCCAAGACTTTGCAGAAGCCTTAGAAGTAATGACTATGCCCCTTTGGGATTCCCATGGTTGCTAAAAATAGAAGTGACTTTGGTACTATAAATCATCTTAGGAAAACAATTTTCTAAAAACTTCACTTTGTTCAACTCAAGATGCAGTGCAACACATGCCCTAAGAGAGCCTTATTTATTACCTAATGCTCAGTGCAATGCAAGGGTTAAATACGTGAACTACTACCACATTGGAGTACCTGGGCTTATCTTCTGGTTCTACCATTTACTAATTGGGTGACAATGAGTAGACTATTGTTTGTTCATTCATAATGTGGAAATAATAATATTAGTACATACCTAATAAATGTGGGGAGTTTTAGGAGATCATATGCAAAGCATTTACAACAGTATATAGCACATAGGTGTTAGTTGTTATTATTTCATATATTTTTCTCAGATCCTTTAAGCATAGTTTTCCGGGTGTTGAAAAGTCAGTTAAAAGAATGAATGAATCACCTTCAAAGCACTAGTGGAAAAAGTATATCATGTCAGAAAACCTCTTAAATGTTCTTTAGAAGATGAAATTGATTACCTTTCCCCTCCTGATCCCTGCTCAGCTGTGCAGATACTGCATGCGTCTTGGAAAAGCTGTCCACCACAGATAAACATTACTCTGTGCTACTGGGTGTGTTCGATGTGTAAATAGATTGTGGAAACACGGGAGGCTGGTTTTTCAAGTTCCTAGCACTTCATGAGGGTCAGGTAGCCCAGGATTGTACAGGTTGTGTGTCTGAAAGAACAGCAAGTCTACTGAACAGTCTAACCTTCAGTCTGAGGTAAGGCTAATATGTTTGTGGGTCTCCAGTGTAGTATCTGCTTTCTTGATTTTTGTATTTTGTATCTTGATTTTTGTATTTTTTCAAAGGGTTTGGGAGAGGTTTACTGGTCAGGAAGGAAATTATTCCTCCCATCATTTGATATTGGATTTTACAATGAAAAGAGAAAGGGAGAAATACATGCAGCAAGGACATTTTGACCATCAGGCTGCTATAAGTTTGATGAATTGTGATGAGAAAGAGAGGTATCTTTTTGTTATGAGCACTTAATTTAATCTACAAAGTGAAACATTGCAATAGATTCTACTG